TTTCTGAGTAACTGCCACGCATCCCCTGAAGCTTCCTCAGAAGTTCAGGAATGCCCTTTCTACTCAAAACGTCCCTTGTTGGCTTCTCTCATTGAACCCGAGTTCCCTTTCAAACTTTACAGAGGAAATGCTTGGAAAGTTTACTCTTCCTCAGTGGAACACATGTGATATTCATCTTGTGTCCAATTTTGTGTTGCTCAAGAGATATGACAGCCCAGGCAGACCAACTCCACATTAATGGTGTCCTCTGACTCTCTGTCCCTCTCTCCCTTCTTCCCTCCGTTTCTCCCCTCCCTCCCTCTGTGCTTCCCTCTCCCTCTTTTCCTTGCTCCGTCTCCCTCTTTCCCTCTCTCCCTTCCTTTGTCCCTCTTTCTTGCCCTCATCCTCTTTCCTTTCCTCTCTCCCTCCCTCCCCTGCTCCCCTTTCACTCTCTCTCTCCCTCCCTGTCCCTCTGACCCTTTCTCCTTTCTCCCTCCCTCTCCCTCTCTCCCCCTCTCCCTCTTCTTCCTCTTTCTTCCCTCCTCTCCCTCTCTCCCTCTTCCTCTCCCTCTCCCTCTCCCTCTTTCCCATTCTCCCTTCCTCTCTGTCTTCTTTCCCTGCTACCCTTTCACCCTCTCTCTCTCTCCCTTCCTCCCTTTCTTTCCCCCTCTCCCTCCCTCTTTCTCTCCCCTCTCCTCCTCTTCTTCCATCCCTCTTCCTTTTTCTCTCTCCCTTCCTCTCTCTCCCTTCCCAATTCTTCCTCCTCCCTCCCTCTCCCTCCCTCCCTCTCACTCTCTCCTTCCCTTTCCCTCCCTCTCCTTCTTTCTCTCTCCCTCTGTCCCTCTTTTCCACCCTTCTTCTCCCTCCCTCCCTCCCTCAGTTCACTTCCGTCTTTCCCTCTCTCCCTCTTTCTCTAACCTCTTCCTCCCTTCCTCTTTTCCTCTCTCCCTCTTTCTCTCTCTCACTGCCTCTCTCTCTCACACACACTGCCTCTCCCTCTTGCCCTCTTTTGCCCTCCCTCTCTCTCGCCATCCCCCTTTCTCTTTCACATTTATTTTCTCTTTCTCATATTTTGTCGTATTTCAGGTTTTCCTCTTAGCACCATCTCCATCTGGTTCATCACATATTGCGGTGTGCAACTGATCAAAGAAAGGGAACGGATTCTGGCTATAAGAGATGAGGAGAAGGACAAGCAAAAACCAGAATAATGGAAAAAGGCAAAAACAAGATGCAACTCCAGGGCATCTGAGATTTGTTTAACCTAGGTGCCTCAAAGCTGCAGAAGAATGACAAAGTTCTCCTGCATTACTCAGTTTTCCAAAATAAAACATTTATTTATGCAAATATTGGAAAATGTTTTTCTTTTTTCCTTTCTCCCTCCCTCTCTCCCTCCCTCTCTTCCTCCCTTCCCTACATCCATCCTGCCTGCCTGCCTGCCTTCCTCCCTCCTCCCGCCCTCTCTCCCTCCCTCCTTCCATTCCTTCCTTCCTTTCTTCTCTTTCTTTCTCCCTCTCTTTCCTTTTATTCTTTCTTTTTCCTTCCTCTCTTCATTCCTTCCTTCTCTCCTTCTCTCCCAGTTTGGATGCCCATGTGGAAATGATGATTACTCCAAAGAGCTGGTGTGTGCAGCATAGAGTCAAAAAAGTCAAAATGGTGGCCATGCCTAGAATCAATGTTTTTTATAGTCATTGCACAGGCAAAGCCTTGTGACTGCCATCTCAACCTCTTTGACCATCTCCTACAGGCACCTTTGGAACCAGAATTTGTCTAATGATACCTCCTGCAAATTCCTGAAGTGTCGTCCACCCTCAACAAAACTCAAGATTGCACTGCAAACTGAACTTACAGACTTACATCCACAACTCAAGACATGTAGGGAGAATCCTCACCCACTCCTTTTAATATAAGAAAGCCCCCATACTAACAAAATAATGCCCCCACCCCACCCCCTTGGAAGAGAAAAGTCTTCCTTGAAATAAAATAAACTCAAGCGGTTCAGCTCTGTGAATGGATATTTAGTTCCACAAACTGTTCCATTCATAAACAAAATGCCTTCAGCTACAAGCTTCCACAGAAGGCTGGAACTGATGGAATTAAAAAAGCAGAGAAACAAAAGACACCTAAAACTTGCATTCCGTCACCTGACCTCAAGGACAGACCATGGTTTCCAGCCACAATGGAAACCAAGCCACCACAGTTAGAATAACCAAAGACATACACTTGAAACTATGGCCCAACAAGCCCAGAAATCTCAATCACACAGCCCCAAAATAATATAAAAGCCATCCACTCACCAGACCAGGTTGTTGGCTGACCCAGAACCCAACACGGTTGTCACTGCAGTTTCTGGCTTCCAAAATAAAGAAACCTCCTTTCCCAGCAGCTTGCTTTCCCATCTTCTCATTTCGTCCGTGCCAATTTCATCTTCCCAGCTGGAGAGAGCAAACTGGACTTTTGCCTTCCAACAGACAGGCTGCCATGTTGCCATGCACATTGTCCTCAACTTACATCCATTCATTTAGTGACCATTCGAAGTTACAACAGCGCTAAAAAAAGTGACTTATGGTCAGTTTTCACATGACCGTTGCAGCATCCCCATAGTCACATTATCAAAATTGGCAATTGACTCATGTTTATGACGATTGTAGTGTCCCAGGGTCATGTGATCCCATTTTGCAACCTTCTGACAAGCAAAGTCAATGGGGAAGCCAGGCTGACTTAACAACCATGTGATTAACTTAACAACTGCAGGGATTCACTTAACAACTATAGCAAAAAGATTGTAAAATGGGGACCAAAATACTTAACAATTGTCTCACTTACCAATGGAAATTTTGGGCTTTGTTGCGGTCATAAGCTGAGGACTACTTGTCTTTGAAGATTATAGACAATCCTATTGAGTCTCCAGCCAAAGAAGATGATGGTGATGAAGTTTCTTGTTAGGTTCTATGTCTTCTGCATGACACAGGTAGCCAGGGCTCCTGATCAGGGAAACTGAGTCAGCTGGCCCTTGGCTTTGAAGGAACGGAATCAAATAGCAAAGATGGTCAGTCAAGAATGCAATGACCATGTTCAAGACTGTTCCTAACAACCGAGTCAGAATCTAAATGAACCTCTGGACCTTCTAGAATTTGCCGATGGATCTATAGTTAGATGCCATCTAGAAAATGAGTAATCTAGTCGAAATTGTACCAAGAAGAGACAGGATAATAACAAATCCTTCCTCACATGAGGAATGAGTCCCCTTGACTAACATTATTCACACTGTTGAGTCATAAGCTGGTTTGCTTTGGGATTAGTGTGAGGTCTTATCTCATACATCAGGCATGTCAAACTCGCGATGTCACATGACGTCGCGCAACGTATTGGGTCAGTTTTGCCATTGCCAGCAATGGGGTGGGCATGGCTTCCATGTGACGCGTCCGGCCTGCGGGCCGGCAGTTTGACACCTCTGTCATACATGATGGTCTGAAACTCTTCAAAACATACATGGTCATCTGTTAGAAATGCACAAATGGTTTCTGCATTGGTCTAGTAGTGGTTAAGGCACCAGAATAGAAACTGGGAGATGGTGAGTTCTAGTCCCACCTTATGTATGAAAGCCAGTTGGGCGACTTTGAGCCAATCACCGGAAGATGCTGAGTTCTAGTCCCGCCTTAGGCATGAAAGCTGGCTGGGTGACTTTGAACCAATCTTTCTCTCTCAGCCAGCCTGTTGTGGGGAAAATAGGAGAGGAAGTTGTGTTGGATTTGTTTGCTGCCTTAGGTTATTTGTAAAAATAATAAAGGCAGGATAAAACAAACAAACAAATAAATTATTCTATTCTATTCTATTCTATTCTATTCTATTCTATAATTATCCTATTCTATTATTCTATCCTATATTCTATCCTATATTCTATCCTATCCTATCCTATCTTATCTTATCCTATTCTATTCTATATTCTACTTCATTATATTCTATTCTTATTTTCTATTCCGTTCCATTCCGTTCCATTCCATTCCATTCCATTCCATTCCATTCTATTCTATTCTATTCTATTCTATTCTATTCTATTCTATAATTATCCTATTCTATTATTCTATCCTATATTCTATCCTATCCTATCCTATCCTATTCTATATTCTACTTCATTATATTCTATTCTTATTTTCTATTCTGTTCCGTTCCGTTCCGTTCCGTTCCGTTCCATTCCATTCCATTCCATTCTATTCTATTCTATTCTATTCTATTCTATTCTATTCTATTCTATTCTATTCCCATTCCATTTTATTCCATTCTTATAAGGTAATATTATAATACAATATTATGTTATTATTACATTGAATACATAACATACAAATCTAATTTATTCATTTCATCTGTATTCCCCTCTCAAACAAACTTCAAAAAACAGTGGTCCTTCCTCACAAACCTTTGCAGAAAAGCAAAATCCTACTTGACTCCCAGCAATTTCTTTCGACCATATCAGAGATCAAATATCTTTCTTTCTAGTTTTATTCTGCTCTCGATATTTTTAGCTCAGGGGATTTAGAAGAAGAGGAGGGAGCTTTGGCATGTCTCTCTCTGTGTGTGTATTTGCACAATTTTTTCCCGAAGGTGGGATTAAACTGTTCCTCTTGATTCCTGAGCAACGTTTGGTATCAGCTGAATTCTCAATTTTGCAGTCTTAATGTCATTTTCAGCCCATTACCCTTATTTTTCTCACTGGGGATTCTTCAGAAAAATGTTCATTGGTGTGAGATACACTCCGGTCATGGGCTAAAGTTACACACTCAGCTGTTAGTCAGCCTTCTGTGTCATCCTCTCCCCCCAAGCCCAGCCCTCCAGTTTCCCCTATTAAAAAGTGATCAGCTTACATGAGGTCCTGAAGAGATTTGTAATGCTGCAACTATATATATATATGTGTGTGTGTGTGTGTGTGTGTGTGTGTGTGTGTGTGTGTGTGTGCGTGCATATATTTATGCTTCTCTATATAAATCCCTCTGGCTATCTGAAGTCAAGCAGATAGCATCAGCAGCAGAGCAAGAGGTCCTTCAGCGTTCTTCCAGGAAGCAAACGTGGTCTTCTCGGGGTTCAAGGAATTCTCAAGAGGTTTCCACCATGGCGACGTCTGGGCCAATGGAAGAAGGTGAGGAGATGCGTCTTTATCAGCAAACGCTCCTCCAAGATGGGCTGAAGGACATGTTGGATCATCAGAAATTCCTTGACTGTGTCTTGAAAGTGAAAGGGAAGGAATTCCCATGCCACAGATTGGTCCTGGCGGCCTGCAGCCCCTACTTCAGGGCTATGTTTCTCTCGGACCTAGATGAAAGCCAGAAGAAGGAAGTCAACTTAGAAGATGTGGATCCAGAGGTCATGAGTAAAATCCTCCATTACATCTACACTTCAGAGCTGGAGCTCACAGAGCAGAACGTTCAGGACATTTTCTCAGTAGCCAACATGTTCCAGATCCCTTCTATTTTCACTGTCTGCGTCTCCTTCCTTCAGAAGAGGCTCTGTCTTAGCAACTGTCTAGCCATCTTCAGACTAGGATTGATGCTGGATTGTGCCCGTTTGGCGGTAGCTGCCCGTGACTTCATTTGTGACCGGTTCTCGCTTGTCTCCCGCGATGAAGAGTTTTGCCAGCTCTCTCCCGACGAGCTGATTGCGATCATCTCCAGCGATTCCCTCAACATTGAGAAGGAAGAATTGGTCTTTGAGGTGGTCATGAAATGGGCCACAGCCAAAGACCGGGACAGTCGGGTCAAGGCACTTCCGGTGGTCTTTGAAAGCATCCGCTTCCGTCTACTGGACAAGTCTTATTTTAGGGACAAGGTGGAGAAGAATGCTGTGATCAAATCTAGCCCGGACCTTCTCAAGAAGATCCAGTTGGTGAAGGACGCTCACGAGGGGAAACTAACGATGGTGAAGCAGAAGAAAGAGAAGAAAAACGAGGACCAGATTGTCAACGGACAGTTGGATGAAGAAGAGATTGAGAAAGAAGAGGAGACCCTACCAGGGATATTGAACGATACGATGCGTTTTGGGATGTTCCTTCAAGATTTAATCTTCATGATTAGTGACTCAGGAGCTGTGGCTTATGACCCGGGGGCCAACGAATGTTATTTTGCCTCCCTTTCTGCTCAGATTCCTAAAAACCATGTTAGCCTGGTCACGCGAGAAAATCAGATTTTTATAGCCGGTGGACTTTACTTCAATGAAGATGACAAGGAGGATCCAATGAATTCTTATTTCTTGCAGGTATCAAGTTTATCTTGGCTTTGGCATGGATCCGGGAGTCTCACTCACGGTTTGGGGGGTCTCCTAGACTTGCTTTGGAAGGGGAATTCAGCTAGAATGAGAGAGAGAGAGAGAGAGAGAGAGAGAGAGAGAGAGAGAGAGAGAGAGAGAGAGAGAGACTCTTGCGTAATTGTAACACACGCCAACTTTCCCTTGCGTGGAATATTATTAATTTGTCAAGAATGCAACAACTGCCCCTCCAGATCAAGACAAATGTCTGTCTGTCCCAGGGTGCTGTTTCCAACAGGTGACAGCCAAACGCCTGTGGAAACTGACAATCATAATCTTCCCTTGCTATATCTCATCAGATATTCAGATGGAACCCTGGTGTTCTTGGAAATACAAAAAGATAAACAGAATGATATTGCTCTAGCCAAGAATGATCTCTCTCTCCCTCAAATGTGTCTGTCTGTCTCTATATATCTATTTATAAATCATCTTGATTTTGGTCTATTATCTATCCCCTATTCTATCTATCTATCTATCTATCTATCTATCTATCTATCTATCTATCTATCTATCTATCTATCTATCTATCTATCTATCTATCTATCTATCTATCTATCTATCTATCTATCTATCTATCTCTCACCTATATCTATCATATATCATTTAATATCCATCATCTTTTATCTATCTCCTATCTATTATGTCTGTCTGTCTGTCTGTCTGTCTGTCTGTCTGTCTGTCTGTCTATCTATCTATCTATCTATCTATCTATCTATCTATCTATCTATCTATCTATCTATCTATCTATCATCTATCTATCTATCTATCTATCTATCTATCTATCAGCCACAAGTCTTAAAGCTGCAGAGGTTGAAAACCACCGTTTTACAGTTTTATTCAAAAATTCAAAAATCGCAGGAATATTTCAACCCTTTTTAGGAAGGACATCCATTTTTGGAAAGTGATCATCAGGGTTCTCGATACCAAAAAAGTTATCTGTGGTCAAAAAAGTCAAGATGGCAGCAAGTGGTGTGATCAAAGCTTCTCAGATTGTTGCAACCACCATTTTGTTTTCTTTTACCACAGAGACTTAGTTAGCAACCAAGAAAGGTGTGAAGCGACATTATCAATTCGCCTTTCAAAATAGACATTTTGAGATGACCGTGCCCACCAAAGAGGCAAAAAAGTCAACATGGCTTCCATGAATGTATGATCAAAACTCTTACCATTTTTACTCTGTGCGGTGCACAAAGCCAGGCCTGCCATCTTGACTTTTTTGACCCCCTTCCTGTGGCTGCCCTGGCGGCAGCCACTAGGACATGAAACAAAACCCTTCCTCCAAGTCAGCCATTTTGTGAAGAACCCCATGGCACACTCTCCCCCTCTCAATCTGCTCCCTGGTCTCCAAACAAGGCTCCCCTTAAACTAGATTTAACCCATCATTCTCAACAGACAACCATTCATTTAGTAACCGTTACAATGGCACTGAAGAAAATGACTTATGAGCATTTTTCACACCTATGACCGTTGCGGCGTCAACACGATCGCGTGATCAAATGCTTGGCAACCGACTGCTATTTATGACGGTCGCAGCATCCCTGGGGTCACGTGACCCCCTTTTGTGACCTTCTGACAAGCAAAGTCAACAGGGGAAGCCAGATTCACATAACAATCGTGTACCCCACTGCAGTGATTCGCTTAACAAGGTCGTAAAAGGGGGCAAAAGTAACACACCTAACAACTGTCTCGCTTAGCAATGGAAATTTTGGGCTCAGTTGCGGTCATAGGTCGAGGACTACCTAGTCAGAAATCCAGCAGAATAGCTTCAAAAAAAGGATGAGACTGCTTTCATAGGACAGAGTTTTCCCACAACTGTCTTCTCTTTCCTCGGCAGTACGACCACCTCGATTCGGACTGGCTGGGGATGCCCCCAATACCATCCCCCCGTTGCCTGTTCGGACTCGGAGAAGCGGAAAACTCAATTTTTGTGGTCGGGGGAAAAGAATTAAAGGAAGGCGAAGAGACCCTGGACTCCGTTCTGTGTTATGACCGGCTGTGAGTACCAAATCTTTGTAGGAGGAGGCATAAATTACCTACAACAGTTCTCTTAGTGACTGTTCAAAGTTACAATGGCACTGAACAAAGTGATTATGGACATTTTTCACACTTACAACCATTGTAGCATTCCCCACGTTCACGTGATCAAAACTCAAGACGCTTGGCAACTGACTCATATTTATGACCATCGCATTGTCCTGGGGTCACGTGATCCCCTTTTGCAACTTTCTGACAAGCAAAGTCAACGGGGAAGCCGGATTCACTTAACAACTGTGTGACTAACTTTGCAACTTCAGGGATTCACTTAACAACTGCATCAAGAAAGGTCGTAAAATGAGGCAAAACTTACTTAACAAATGTTTCACTTAGCAACATGAATTTTGGGCTAAATTGTGGCTGTAAGTCGAGGACTACCTGTATTGATTTTCCCAGGGAGAATAAATGGGGAGCCAGGAACTGAGAATAACGAGGGGGGAAACTGGGGCTGATTGGTATCTCTATCCTCTTCATCCTCACTTTGGCCTATCCAAAAATGTAGCATTTGGTCATTGCAGCCAAATTTCGGTTTCCTGGACTCCCCCCCCCCCCTTTGAAAATCTTTCGGTCTGTTTATTTCCTCCTAATATTTATTTATTTTGATTTATTTAGAAAGGAAATTTATTTGGCCACCCAAATCTCTCACTCGTGGCGATTCCAGCTGGGTTACAGAAATAAAACTGCAGATGCAAACCCCAATAAAACCCAGTGACACTCTGGTGACAACAAACAAACAAGCCATGATGGGTGGAGTCCTTGGTGCTTGGCTGTTTTCTCACAGATGTTTCATTAGCAAACATTACCAACCAGTGCACAGATGATGTTATCTAGTTTGGTCGTGAAACGTCTGCAAGAAAAGAGAGCTCACAGAGCACCAAGGATCCCACAGTCCCTCCTCCTCCTCCTCCTCCTCTCCACAAACCCCACCCCCTTCTAGCACTGATGATGTTACCTAGTTGGGTCATGAAATGTCTGAAAGAAGTCAAGCTCAGACAGCATCAAGGATTCCACAGTCCTCCCTCCTCCTCTTCCTCCTCCTCCTCTTCCCCC